CCAACCTGTAATTGTCTCTGATCATTACACTTACCTTGGTATTAAGTTTACATCTGCTATGAACTGGAAAACATCTGTTACTGAATTATCATTGAAAGCTAAGAAAGCATTGATAAGTCTTTTATCTGCCTTGTGTAAAATTGGTGTGTTGACGCCCAGTATTTACTTTAAACTATTTGATTGTCAAATTCAGCCTATTCTTTTGTATGGATCCGAGATTTGGGGATTCCAGAGATATGAATGCATAGAAAAAATACATCTGATGGCCTGTAAGAAATTTTTAAATGTAGGACCCTCTACACCGAATTGTATGGTGTACGGTGAATGTGGGAGGTATCCCCTGTATATAAATGCTCATATTCGATGTATAAAATTCTGGTTTAAGATATTGTGTATGCAAGAACATAGATTACCCCAAAAGGCTTATAAAATGCTTGTTCATTTGGACAACATTGGTAAAGTGACGTGGGCATCTTATGTAAGAAATCTTCTGTTTTCACATGGTTATGGTTTTGTATGGTTAAGTCAGTCAGTTGGTGATGCAAGTTTGTTTTTAACTCAGTTTCGAGAAAGAAGTCTTAATATGTTTAATCAAGAATGGTATTCAGTAATACATAATAGTTCACGGTACGACTCTTATAGAATATACAAATCACTACTCCAGCCGGAGAAATATCTGTCGTTTTAACATCAAAGAAATTAAGATATCCATTTATACGTTTTAGGTTAGGTTTGATCAACATAATGGTAAACGAAGGAAGACGTTTTTATATTGAACGATGCAAGAGAATGTGCCCACTGTGTAATATAGATGTGGAAAATGAAATCCATTTTTTACTTGTATGTCCTTTGTATAAAGATTTGCGTACGAAATATATAGCTGAATATTATCTATGTAAGCCACCTACATTAGCATTTAAACTACTTCTTTCATCAACTGACCAGCATGTAATAATAAAGCTGTCGTACTATATCAATTATGCTCTTATTAAACGTAACAATCTGATAAAAGGTGTTGTAGGTCCATCGTATTTCACTACCTGTACATAATTTACTGACTGTATCATGATTTGCTGTTTGGATCACTAAGTACTACTTATTGCACCATATGTATAATGTATATGTATAACTCCAATGTATATGGGCCGGAGGCCTTTTGTACAATAAACATCTTTGACTTTGACTAGCAGTAAAACCTGACTGGAATTTACTTAAAATGTTATGTTCATGGAAATGGTCGTGCACATGCTTTACCATTATTCTTTCAAGGATTTTCCAAAGGATAGGTATTAAACTAATAGGTCTGTAATTAGTTGGGAGGGATGCATTTCCTTCTTTCAAAATAGGAGCAACATTACCCGTTTTCCACAATGTAGGAAATACAGTCACTCAGTGATATATTATACAACAAACAAAGAGGTTCAGCTATAGATGTACAAATTCGTTTTACCCCTCTCATGTTAATGCCATCAGGTCCACTAGATTTGTTTGCTGGTAAGGTCTTATCAGATACCTCCTTTTTTGTTGTCGCATTCTTTTGCGTTATTGAAACAAATGTGGACAACTTTAAGCTGATGTATGGCGTTATTACAGCAAAGGCTGAGCGGAAGGAGAAATAACATGGTTCCGGCACTGTGAGACTATTAAGAAAGGTCACATGCAGCGCAATAATATTCCAATTATGTACTGCCAAAAATATTTTACAGTAGTGAGCTGAATAGACTTAAGAATTACGAGTTGGTACGTGTGGCATATTTGGCTGTGCTCTAAGAGAGACATCCTCGATAATCTCCAGGGTATACGTTACGATAACTCTCCACTATACCCTGGATGCATCCACGGCTTAGGGCGATGATTTTATTACCTCCCTTGGCTGGCTCCGCATTCTCACAGTAGCCAATCAGCTAAGCCGCCGTTACAACCGAGCTTGCCAGTGTCAACAAGGATAGCGGTCGCAGTCGCGAAGGTTTGTTCGCAGTGCCACTCAGATTTTTGGGGAAATAATAAAGACAAATTGACAGATCTGAAACTTTAAAAAATATATGACAGAACTCCTTCTACTTCTTTCAGAGTACCTCTGCATCAATTGTGTTGCCAAGTTTTAACGGTTAGATAATTTAAGAAGCGAAAGTGAGTTGTGATTGGTACGCTCAACTTCCCAGCGTAGGCACCTGATTGGATAAAAAGCCAGCCAATTGAGGTAATAAAATCATCGCCCTAAGCCGTGGATGCATCCAGGGTATAGTGGAGAGTGATCGTAACGTATATGTCTGCCGATATATATATATATATATATCATTAATGTCTATTAATATATCGCTCATCTCCTACGTATATACGAGATATTAAGTACTACGTAGGGGATAATTTGTCCTACGTAGGAGAAAATATGCCTTACGTAGGAGATATTAAGTCCTACGTAGGAGATAATGAGACCAAACATTTTTTTCACCGTGGCCCTACTACGCTTCCGTAGTACTAAACCCTAACTTGAACCGTTCATAGAGAAACGTTCTCTGTCAAGTTTGTACAGGAGGTGGTGCGCGTGTAAACGTATGAAGTAATATCCGTTACATGTTCAACACGAATGGCGTTATGAATTAGCTTCACAATATCATCTGCGACTGAATATCTTCGATATTCACTGCGCGATCAAAGGTAACAAGAGTTTTTAAAACTCCCAGCGTTGTTGAGTGAGTGACTCAACATGGATTTATGCATAAACACCATACAGGGCATTGATTAGATTCATGTTCCAAAGGAAAGACCAGCACGAACAAACACAGGCGTTCACTACACGCTCTCGCTTTATGAGATATACGACGACAGATGGTTGTTGTCACAACATGTACTCAGTGAGTGTTCAATAGCAAAACACAGTCAGTAGTTTACAAACTAAATTAAAAAAGCAAGGTTTCTTTTTATCCACTATTATGTATCATTTAGCATGTGTTAAGTTGTAGAAACGCTACACTTCAAAGAGTAAATAAGCACAAGAACTTCCATTTGTTTTCCGTTGTCAGATCACATAATGCCAAAGTCATCGCTGGGCGTGGGACGGGAAGTGACTGAAAAGCAAATCAGCTCGGAATACTTTCTGTGTTTCAAAGACAGCTATTTAACATTAATGGCTGGTGTAAATCACATAATGCCAATGTCATCGCTGGGCGTGGGACGTGAAGTGACTGAAAAGCAAATCAGCTCGGAATAGAAGCTGTGTTTGAAAGACAGGTATTTAACATGAAAGACTAGTGTAAATTTTGCAGTAATGACTTTTTAATAACGATCGAAATGGGTTGACCAATATGAATAATCTCTCCATATATGCCTATGAGTATGAAGTCAAGTACATGTAATGCCTTGCAAATGGTATTATTGATAAATATAACTTGACAAACGTTCAGCCATTATTTGGGCTGTGGGGTAGCCAAGTGGTTAAAGCGTTCACTCGTCACGCCGAAGACCCGGGTTCGATTCCCCAAATGGTTACTATGTGTGAAGCCCATTTTAGGTGTCCCCTGCCGTGATATTGCCGGAATATTGCTAAAAGCGGGTAAAACTGAACTCACCCACTCACTTCATTATAACCGACACTGTCCATGTGTTTTATGCAGCCCCGACTATTTTGCCGTCGCCCATGTCCGTGTATGAACCATACAGAGACACATACAAATTGCATGTTACAATAATGTCAGTAAAAGCTGATATCATCTAAATGCGTTTTCATGCAAGATTAAAGAGTTACAATGCCTTTAAGGAGATCTGCAAATAAACGATAAGAAGGAATATCGTAGCATGCTGTTACTCTGTAATCAACGAGTGAGCGAGTGAGTGTGGTTTGCGCCGCTTTTTGTAATATTCCAGCAATATCTCGGGGGTGGCCTCACACATTATGCAAATATGGGAAATTGAACCCGGATCCACGAGCGAACGCTTTAACCACTAGCCAAGCAAACCGACCCTCCATGATCAACGAGGACACGTGACCAGAACATAATTTGTTAAACATCAAGCACATTCCTATGGTTGTTTTCATATATGGACACAGCAGATAATTTCATATATGCTTTCATTCGGAAAGTGAAGTATGTGTATATATAAAATTTTATTTTCTAGCATTGCCATTGAAAAGCATAGTTTTATTACTTCCTTTTTAAAACTGTTTCTGAAGAGAGAATACAATGCAACCATTCTGAATAACACATATAGGATTCAGATTTAAGATTCACAAATCGTAATCGAGACGGGAAGCTATATGAGGACCTTAGGAGAACGCATAACTTGTCAGTTGACACGATTTATCATCAATGAAGATCTTACCGGACCCGAGCAGCGCAAGGTCGAAGGGCCCGCCAACTGGTCTTGTATAAGAAAGTTGAGGCGTCATGGGTGACCAGCGGGGTCATGCATCCTCATTTAGATGGGGGACGGGCCGGCGAGAAAGGTGGCCAACAGCACTTCGATGAAGTGTGCAAGTCTATACACTCAAGGTGGTGATTAGTCTGAGTCAAGACAAATGAATACTATTACAGTCATGAGATAACTTGTTTGAAATACCCATAATGCCCTTGCACGATCTCATGAACAGTTACTGTCGATAGTCATCATGACTCCATGCTTTACATATGTTAACATCAGTATAACTGTGCATAAAACTGTGTTGTTTACAGTAACATTGCGCTTTTGCAGAGATTCACATGTGATGTAAACGAACAATTTATATGATTTAGATAAATATGATAATATGTGCTCATGAAGTTGTCAATGCCTCCCTTCACGTCTTCAGTCAGTGACACGCACCGCCAGATGTTAACGGTGAACGCGCTGCGAATGTTGTGAAGCATGTGCACGTGAGTGTGTGGGATGCACGAGCAGTGTATCCGTGCTCTACATGCTATGTAACGGTTCTGTCTACTACAGACAGACAACACGTACTTATAATACATCGTCCATACAAGTAAACTGTGAGCTTCCTCCGATGATAACGAGTCCCAGTGTACCAACTTGATTTTTATGCATACTATGATTTTGCTTGCTTGGTTCCTCATTTCATTAAAATGCACATACGAATACACATTTGTTTGCATCTCTAACCAGGTGTAATCTTGAATACGAGTGGACGTTGCTTAGCATAGCATTGACTACATGCATAATACGTTGTGTAGTATATGTGCAACATATACAGTATTGCAGTATGCATATTACAGTAGGGGCTGGACAGAAGGGCAAATAAAATATCGGACTGTGATACAGACTGGGACAAGGTATGGAAAACCAACAATTTGGACAACAGACCATTGTTTGGGTCTTTTAATTGTAAATATGATTCAAATAGCTTAACCTAGATTTCGATATCCTCGAATGTACATTTGGTTGAAACTGGAAAATATACATACGCTCAATCACAAGTGTCTCCAGGTCACGGAGAATCATTGGTGTAGGGGCTCGTATTGCAATTCTCGTGCGTTTGCATGTGTTGTTGACGCGGCATGGACGCCTTGTAACATCACTATTTGATTATGATTCACAAACAGATGCTCATGATATGGTCGGAATCATGCCACGGATTAGCAGATATTTATCATGAAAACAGGTTTTTATGTAGGTGGCTTGAAACTTGCATTTACAAAGGCCAATAGATTCGATCACAATACTTTTCGTTTTACAACTTCTTTTCTCTTAACATGCTGACCTCAAAACTGATTTAAATTCTAATCGCTGATTAAAGAGTAACACAATAAATAGTATGCAAAATTATCGTTACCATGACAACCCTGTGATATTTCACCTTATGTAAGAGAGTAATAAATACGCTGCTAGGTATGGCAGTACTACTGCAGCTGATAGTGTCTGTCGTAAATTTTTAATAAGTTGCTTCAACGCTATCACTAATCACTGGGTATGTATACAATTATATGTGTGTGGAGGAGATCTTGCGTCGCTAGTTTTCTCAATAATCTGAATACATGTATGTAGCGTGAAACCGGCAGATACCTATAGAAGAAAGTGTTTGCCCTACCTGTAACAACGATGTCCCTTGTATATAGAAGGGATATAATATGGGGATGAATGGCATGTACTTTTATCTTGGCCCGTTTATGAAGATAAATACTGCGATCTTTCACAATAATCTCTCTGGCTATCAGATTGAGGGTACTTTTTAAACATAACTGGTATTTCAATTATTGTATTTATACAGTAACATTCTTCAAACGTTCTCCACATACGTCCGTCAGATACATCGCGCACTACCCCTTTCTCTTTTGATCTCTCAAGCGACTGTTACAAGTTCGGAGAATCTTGGTCAAAGTTGAAACGTCTTAAGACTATTCCATACTATTCTGTAACATGCACATTATACCTAAAATGGGTAGAGCTTCCGTTCGGGTGAATATCAGAAGGACAGCGATACACTTGTCTCCAATGTTGTAGAAGACACTCCACTTACTTAGGAAAACAATAACCCAATAAGATATTGCATTCATGTCGGATTCAATTTTTTCGGCCCCTATCAGATGTGAACTTGAACATGCAAGGTCTGCGTCTATGTCAGACTAAAGGTCTACGAGTTGTTTAGCAGCACTGGGGCGTAATAGTCATATAGGACTGCTCCAAACAACTGAATATATATCTTTTGAGAAGGACTTCTCTGACGGGTAAAGGTACAGCAATGCAACATTACGAAAAATCTTTTTTTTCACTATTTTTCATTTCATGTCTCACAGAATATATAACTTAGTCGAATTAAGTCAAAATGAGCTGAAATTTGTGTCATGATGCATATAAACATACACTCATTCATTTACAACCTCCAAAACATGAATTCTGAGCGAAATTAAACATTCTCGCCATGGGCCAACATATTTTTCGCCCATGGGCGAGATTTTTTTAATATCGCCCTAAGTTAGTCGAATTAAGTCAAAATGAGTTGAATTTTGTGTCATGATGCTTATAAACATACACTCATTCATTTACAACCTCCAAAACATGAATTCTGAGCGAAATTAAACATTCTCGCCATGGGCCAACATATTTTTCGCCCATGGGCGAGATTTTTTAATATCGCCCTAAGTTAGTCGAATTAAGTCAAAATTAGTTGAACTTTGTGTCATGATGCTTATAAACATACACTCATTCATTTACAACCTCCAAAACATGAATTCTGAGCAAACTAAAACATTCTCGCCCATGGGCCAAAACACGCCCTTTCAGTAAACATGAAGGGGAGTCACTTGAACAAGCGATTATAGTTTCAAATTGCTTTTTTGTGCAGTTTAATATCTATGTTTGACTTACATACAACATGTGTTTTGCATATTGTGTTTCAATTGGTGTAGGGGGATTCCCGCCAATACACCTTGATATAAAATTGGATCAAAATCTATTAATTCTTTCCTGAGTTCGCGGCTACCAAGCTTGGCATGTGCAAAACTGTTACACCTTCGCTGTGACCTTTAAAATGACCTCAAGGTCACTAAATTCAAGTGGTGTCGGTAAATCTCGTCAATAAACCTTGGTACCAAATTTGAACAAAATCCATCATTTCTTTCTCGAGTTCTTTCAGTAAACGGAAGGGGGAGTCATTTGAACAAGCGATTGTAGTTTCAAATTGCCTTTTTGTGAAGTTTAATATCTAAGTTTGATTCTAGCCGACCTCTACCAATCTCAAACATACAAAAATGTTTCTTGCATATTTTGTTTCCTGAAGTTTAATTTGTGATGCATTTCATTGCTAGTCAGCTAGGCTATTCCATTTGTCCGAACCACAACATATGGAGACAGATCATTTAGCAGACCGGGTGCTGTACTCTGGAATTGATTACCTGAAAATGTCAGAAAACGGAAAATATCAACTGTTTCCGATCTTGTCGCAAAACCACCCTCTTCAAACGAGCATTCGACTAAGCGCACATGAGCAGGACTCTGGATATGTAGCTCTATACAAATGTCTAACTTGATTTGATCTGATTTGATATACCCGTTAGAAACCCACCCCCACCCCACCCCACTTTATATTTATACATATCAAAACCTTAAAAGATATTTGCGAAAAGACATGATACAGAGGACAGAAAGATATTTTATATCGATTATATATCAGGACGAATATCATTTTCGTCATTTGGCTAAGATTTGTCAGTTCTTTCTTGGGTTATCACGCTAACAATCTTTATATTGGCAAAACCCTCAGATTTTTGCTGTGACCTTGAAAATTATCTCAAGGTCACTCCATTTCACTTGTGTCGGTGAATCTTGCCAATATACCTTGGTACCAAATTTGAACAAAATCCATCATTTCTTTCTTCAGTTATCGCCCTAACAAGCATATTTGATGTATGAAATGCAACGAAAAACAAACACCCGCGTATTTACGAGTGATTAAAACTGTTATTACAATTTACGTAAATATTTATTACATTTTACCGCAACGAAAATTATTACAATTTACGTCAATTTTTATTACAATTTGCGTATTACAATTTACGTCAATTTTTATTACAATTTACGTTTTTATTACAATTTACGTCAAGTTTATTACAATTTGCTGCAAGTATTACAATTTGCGTTTTTATTACAATTTACGTCGTAACAACCCCTTTTTATCAAATGCTTGATAATACCACTTACCTTACCTTCACAGGTCTTTCCATGATGTATTGCTTGTCCAACGTTGTTTCTCGTCACTAACACGCGAATGTTTCATTTAAGCAAATAAATATGTATACATGTATTTTATGATTGCCGTGTTTGTTTGAGAGCAACTCTTCTATAATGCAAACCTTTTTATCTCTCGATCATGGCAAACATGTACACAAATGTCATATTTACAAAAAAACATACACATGTAAAACGTCAACACCAGAGCATAACTGGACGGATTACCTTTCCAAACAGATTCAGTTGGGTGTAGAAGATAACATACCCTGAAAATAGCATTGAAAGTCAGTGATGACATATGAGAAGAATAGGTTACGCATGTCGTGCTGTACCGATAACACCGATACTCACATAATTTATAAGCAAGCAAACATTTGTTTCCGAGCTGCATAGCAGCGCTCCTATTACCCGATGGTTGAGTGTACAGAAAAAAAGAAAGAACTTCATAGTTATGTCTATCAACGTGTGTCTACGAGAGTCGTTTACTCAGTGTATGGGGTGTTAAATCGTCAATGGAATTGGTGTAATACAATTTAGTATTAGCAGATCTTATATGGGACAGGTGTAGAACGAACATGATTAGTTTTGAAGTCAATGCTTCTTCAATGATGGCATAGTGTGTGTGGTCGGCTTGCGTGCGTGCGTGCGTGTGTACGGTTATGGGTATGTAAGAATTATAAAGTACAGTAAGTATGATGAGGTGTGTACAAAACATGGGTAAAGTTCAAATCATCCATAGTGTTAAAATAAAAAGGAAACGGGGTTAGTCTATCTGATTCATGATGAAAAACGACAAGGAAAAGATAGTTTTGTCTAAAACTTGTAATTACGTCACTATAGTACCATGTCAAAAAGCTATCGGCCCAGCCGGGTAATGACTAACAACTTTTATTGCCTCCGTTTATATCAGCCAGCTGAGTCTTATTTCATATTGGAGCAAACGTTGTCTTGAAACTTTAAGAATAGTCAATTGCCTTTGGAGGTGATTCCTTTTGTAATGCAAGGATCTGTCATTTTAATTCGTGACAGCACAAAAGGTGTGATCATGGATTTCACCATGTGAGATGACTACGACCTGTGTCGTTTTTCGTTACGACATAATACTGAAACTTTGTGATAAGTGATCATTACTGCTGGCCAAGGCAGTTTAAAATCCTCTCCTGAAGATCCGATTTAAAATGAGTCTCCAATAACCTCCTTGTGGTAAATAAGACTAACGGATCAGGCGAAACTGAGTAGGTTGATTGGAACATGCCATCGTACTCCATTTGCATTGATCGCTGCTCATGGTGTCAGTAACTGGGTTTATAGGTCTGAGATCCATTAAATTAGACGACAAACAAGCAGTTTTAAACACTACCCCTTTCAATTATGTTAATGGAAATCTATAAACAAAGAACTTAATTAAGCACTCCCTGTATTTTGGGAATGATTCAACACATACATACAATTTCTCATGGTGACCACGAAGGTAAAACATGAATTTTTCTAACTCTTATGATCATTTGACTCATGAAAAACGACAAAATGATTGGAATCCATGTTGATTTTATGATCATAATTGCTCATTTAAAAACCCACTGATTTTCATACAAACCATGTCTGTACAAGTGTGGCCCTGGAATTTATTATAAGTGAAAGTGAACATTCAAAATGTCCTTTAGCGTGTCTTACACGATTTAAGGTCAATACCGAGTGTAACTTCCACGTGACTGTATGACAGCCAGCACTCCTCATCCTCCTGATCCTCTGAAGGGGCAGTCTATGCTTTTCTTGTGTGAAGCAGCTTCCAACTGGGCCAGGTTCTGTACAGGAGGATCCCTTTATGACACACGACGACTAATCATCTCCCAGAATAGGGTTAAGATCGGGGCTTATTCAATCATTGTGAGATATGTCAGGGGTGCTAACTAAGTTCTTTGTGTATAAATGAATCCACAGTTAAACATAAGTTAGAACTGATACAGGAGTGAAAAACACTGCTTACAGATTCAACGACACCAGACAAAGGTGTCTCTATCGAACATGGAACTGCGACAACGGACACCAAGGACTCTCCAGAAGACTGAACCTCAAGTTGAAACTGACACATCAAGTTAACCCTGAAGAAGGAGATTGGTCTGTTTAGTGGGATATCCTTTGTGTGTGGGAACCATCATTAGTAAGTTAGATTGGAACAGGTATCGTTAGTGTAAATGTTACAGCTGATTTCAAGTAAAAGAATTATCACTACTGGTTGATTGTCATTTGAAGGAAATGGATGGATAATCATTATCAAAGGGTTAGGGTCAATTTCGGAACAGATCGTGAAGGGATGGACAGGGAAGAATCAGATGCGATGCGATAGAAAATAGGATGGGAGAACGGAACGAAAGTGTTTTGAAAAGAATGGAAAGAGAGATGCGACATGGGACGGAATGGCATGACATGGGATAGAAAGGGAAGGGGGTTGGAAGAAATTGCCATGAGCGATTGTTGGGATTGTCATTGGCGAGAAGGGATGGGGAAATTTTGGGGAGGAAAGAAGTGATCGGATGGGATGCTGTATGAATGCAAATGCAATGTCATAGGTAGGGATAGAATGGTTTGGAAAGGCGGTGATGGGAAGCGGGATGCGAAGGAGAATGCAATGGATTGACATTGGGAAAGAGGAAGGCAATGATCTGAGTTACAATATGGGAGGTGAAGGTAAATGGAATGACGAAATAACACAAGTTGTCGATCATTAGTGTCGTCATTAATAGGGAAGGGAGGAAAATAGCCGGAAGGGAAGAGGGTGTGAATTATCAGTATTCGAAGCGTGGATAATACACGAGATGGGAAAAGAGCCTGTGATTCTATTTCTGACTATGTATTGATTTATTGTAAAAGTATTGATTTAAATATTTCGTAGGTTCTGGTATCTTCATCACACCCAAAGAAGTCTTGATGAACACCGGCTCTGTAGGTCTGTGCATGGTGGTGTGGTCAGCTGGAGCTCTCCTCTCTCTACTCGGTAAAATATAACGTTCGGTGTGCTAAATAATTCCACCGTTACAGTCGTTGCATATAGAAATTATTCAGATGCATATGCCACCAGCAACTGTGACGAATCTCCATGAACCAAGTGCTCTCTGATGTTGAACACTAGACTGACTGTTTCGTACTGAATAACCTATCAAGTACAAAGTCCCACATTTGCTTATATTTGATTCTTTGTATTTGCCAGAAGCATTTTTATGAAAAATAGGGTTTAATACTTTAACCTCACCAAAAGCCAAAGGCCATGTGACGTGAAACAGGGTTTAATGTCGCGCCAGTTAGTGAGTAGTGAGTATGTGGTTTTACGCGGGTTTGGCAATCGAACTTGGCTCTTCAGCGTGACGAACGGACCCTTTACCATTAAGGCTACCCCATAGCTTGTGCGTTATTGTGCTGCTTGTTTACCCTGGACGCATGCCGAATTCATAGAGCTTCATGACGCGATACCACGCTGTAAGTACCCCACTCAAAACACAGTCTACTGATTACGAGATAATTCCATATTTTTTTTTTTCCCCTCAATGCTTGATGCCATGCAGGGTCACCACTATCTTTATCTTTGGGTATGACGCGACTTGGAATCGAACCGACAACCTCACCGCTCTACAGGGTGAGTGAGTGAGTTAATATTTAACGTCACATCGGCAATATTTCAGCCATATCGTGACGTGAACATTTTACATTGAAATGGAATAGATGTAGATAATACAACCATATACGAAGGACAGGTAAAACAACTAGAATATCACAGATATACATGTAAAACTAGTGATTAAATCTAAAATATGTTACTTTTAAATGACAATACAACCGCAAAAACCGGCTATAGATTTGCCCAGCAACTGAAGGTAGATCACCATACTAGGGACCATGGGGACTTGGTACATTGCTTCCTGCATGGACCTAGCTGGATTTACCATCCCTTCAGCCGTTAGCAATTTAAGAAACTCTAGCCATACATTAAAAGAACAGGTATTACTACGATTAAAAGTAGGAACGTTTTAATTTACTTCGAATGTTTTGGGACTTACCATACCCTCTCAGGAGGACGAAATAATGTTACAGATGCCGCTCTACCAGAGCGATGTTATCCACTAGACGCGGTATCACTAAAGACATAATTTATGTTGTTCGGAAATCTTTTCTTGTGAGTTTTCAGGTTCACTTACCTTCACTGAGTTATTTTATCTGTCACACGGACATCAGGGAGGTATGCAGTGTTTGCTGAAAACATTCGGCCCTATCCCTGCCTTTATGTTTTGTATGAGTCCATCGAGATCGCCAGGAGACCCAGCGTCCAGAGCTTCGTGCAATGTCTGACGTTCGCCGAGTATCTCTCCCACTTTACTGGAGCTGGATGGTCCTGAACTTGCCAGAAACTCCGCCTTGATTGCCGTACCCGGTAGGTTAGTTGTTTAGCGACTCCCGGACTCACAATTACCGATTCAGCATGTTCCCATAGTCCCCGGCTAAAATATGTTCAAGGATTCGTATAGCTTTATGCAAGACACATCGAGAGACCTACCAAAACATACCTCAAGATCACATTTTGACATAGTAACATGTTTGTTGGGGTACTAGACATAGCTTACCATACAAGATATCCAGGTGTGGAAATGGATGAAGCGATGTCCCTCTACTACAAGACGTTCACAGGTATTTGGTACTGCTTGGTAAAGACGAAAACCATTGCTAGAATTGTTTTAATCAACTCTTATAAAGAGGTACCAGGTACATTGCATTCTCCGTGAACCATTTCTGAAGAAGCAGTAGCTAGTCTAGTGAGCCCAGGTGTGTCTGTAATAACAAATACGACCGAGGAAATTCGTAGCATGTTACTGTAAGCCCGAGTGTTTCTGTAATTACAAGCCCGACCAATGGAACTCGTAGCATGTTACTGTAGCATAAGCCGAAGTGTTGTCTGTAATTACAAGTCAAACCACGGAGAAAGTCTAAGTAACGTGTACTTCACAATAAGTCAGACAGAAAGGATAGCGTTGTTTCTCGGTGACCAGATTCAATGTTAAAATGAGTTGCCAAACATAATTTATCTGCGGAACAACATCCCAAGAATAGGACTTAAGCTTGCCAAAATACCCTTCTTACGAAAGAAGCTATCGAAGATGCATTACAGGGTACTATGAGAGTGTCAAAAGCTATGAAGTGCACAATCTGAGACCAAATGCCCGTATGTACCAGTACATTTACTTCACTTCTGTTGTCCAGTTGTCCTAAGCGTTCACCACCTCCTACAGCGGCGTGAGGGTTGTCGGCACGGATACAGGTGCTTCTTCACAAAGCCAAATTGGGGAGCTCTGTTTATTGATCAAATCATAATCATGGGAGGTCCTGGTCAAAATTGGACAAGGTAAGAACAATTTGAATACAAGACAGACTGAAGAAGGAAGAAGTAAGATTACAAGACGAAGAAAGAAGAGAGAAGGACTCGTTCCGAGTGCGTGAGAGTTCATCACCGGTTTGAAAAGTATTCTTGGCTTATATCAATTGGATGTAGGAAGAGGAAACGATGTGATTCAGGTTACAACTTGCTAATGGGGAGGGCGGCGAAACTTTTTGGGATGGGTGCAGACAAACCCTGAATACATATTCTCAACAAACCGGGATTCAAACCCACATTAGATTTCCGACCTTGGTTAACTGAAGTTTTTCTCTAAGCCGTTGGACTTCTTGTGAATAAATGTTTCATACAATGTCAAAATTTTACAAGAAATTCATTTCAGTCAAAAAAATAATGCTTGGTGAACAGTTCGTGATACCTTACCTTAGAGCTTATAACGACAATGAACTATGTTTTTTAAGTTTGTTCAAATTTTAAAGAGTTTACGGTATGACGTTGTTTAGAAAAAAAAACCAATCACTTTATTGTTTATCAAAATTGTGAGAAAATAGTGAAATATTCAAAAATAATCGAATCAACGTAAAAATACAAAATTTCAGAAAAAAAGAGGTCCCGGTGTACATAAGCACTTGAAGTCATGACGACGACTCAGTGGTTGTAACATAGTTAAATGCACACGAAACAAAATATTTAGAACTTTAATAAAGTCCCTCTGTCTTATTTTGCAGGGGACGTTATCTGAGCTACCAACTGGGTTTGATGGTTCTGTGACTGTGATTTCAAATATCGCCTATCGTACTACTCGATCATGTTTGCATATGGAGGGATGGTAAAATGATGGTCAAATTTTTCATATTCGGGTGTAGCATTCAGTCACGTTACAACTGAAACTATGGTTTTGTATGTGCGGGAGGGGTGTCGGTCTGTAAACAACAACACAAGTCATCCTGCTCTGATAATGATTGTGTTTTATAATGTCACAAAAGATGTAGTATTCCAAAGAAAGTATTGAAATGTTTCGGAAAATATATAATACATGTATATAAACTATAAGTTTATAAGTTTTGCAATAAATGAATTCGTTGGTTATGGTTTCTCTTACAGTCTAAGTGTCTTTTCAATTACTTTGTGAGTGAGTGAGTTACAATTTAACGTCACCTCAGCAATATTTCAGCCATATTTCAATTACTGTGAGACCTCCTTGCCCTGCACAATACGACTGTGCGCAATGCAAATCTTAGGTGCACTACCAGTCAGTTGTAGGAATTAGTGTGATGGCAGTATCGCAATATTCGAGTTTGTTTTAGTTCGCTGTGTGTTTTGGGTCGTTATCATGCACGGGAAAATCCAAGTAGTTTCCGGGCCGTTGGAGGAATTTGTCATTTAAGATCAACATATCGTTCGCTACGTCAAATTGTCCGGTGAAAATACAACGTGATGATATCCCTTACTTGTGAATTTCGAGACTATGTTTTGGGCGTTGGTGAATGGGTTTCGCGGTATCCCCTTTGTCATAAGATGTCCGCACAGTTCGGAAAAAAGCGGAACAGAACTTTCATCGGAAAGGGCATTTATAAGTGCTGAAATAAGGCCTGTCCGACCACCGAGACAGTCTAGATGTCGATGGA